GAATGACGGGAAGCAACAAGTGAGCCGTAATCTGATGAGAGTCATTGCCTTTGAGGGGTTGCCAAATTTGTGGTGAAGATGTCATCACCAGACTGGTGCCGAGTGCTTTTCAACGTGTTCTCTTAGAGGCGGGAGGCGCTCCAATGTTTGCATTTCATTTGAAACCATTTCAACTTCTCTAATTCATTCTCATACAAGTGTAAAGAAATAACTGTACAGATTCTGCAAAGGGAATTCAGAGGTGTATTTAAATGTATCATACAGTGTATTTATGAGCAGACAGCACAAGAAAATGTCTTCCCTCTCACAAGAATCGAAGATCTCTCATTCTCATGAGCGATCCAAATTTCACAAATTTCCAACTCGACCCTATCCTCTCCATTGCTGATTATCCCCTTCCAGTTGCTGACCTGGCATCCCTACTTACAGGAGGGGGAAAAAAAAAAAAAAAAAAACATTTTCCAGGTCCCGATGGAGGAGGATAGAGAGAGGCTTTGTAGTCAGGAATGTCGGGAAGCAACAGGCCCGGACAAGGAGAGAAATGGCATTACTCTCTCCTGGGCCACACCCAACCTTTACCAAGAAGGTAAGCAAGCATATTTGGAAGTGCTTAAAGTGGAAACCATGGGCCTCAACCATTTTCTATACCTTGCGCTTCCTCAGCATCATGGGTGAATTACTCCATCGGACTGTGCGAGAGGTTGTCGTTCTCGAGACACTGACCTGTTCGCAAGCCAAATTACAGGGTGCAGCTAGACAAACAAACGATTCCACTCGCACTAATGGACTTTTTAAGGCTTCAATCAACATGCATGTTTTCAGAATGCAGGAGGAAGATTGAGCACAAGAAGAAAACAAAAACACGGGAAGAACATACGAACTCTATTGAACACGTGTAGGCCACAGCTGAGATTGGAACCCAGAGGTAGACAAAATTTCCCATGAAATAAAGGGGGGGGGGGGCACTAACTTTGGCAATGTTGAAATAATCTCAAATTTTTATATAATGGATGGAAACAAGTCAAATTTTTCTCTTCGTTACCAGAATAAACACCTAAACTGCTCAATTCCATTGTGCTAGACTTAGTAGTTAAAGATAATTTTAAAATGTCAACATTTTTGGGACTTCAGATTGGCTTTGGTTAATACATAGTGTAGTTCTTGTTTTTAGATTTGCTTTTTTTCTCACTACGGCGATGTGAATTCATGTTTTTATTCAGAAATGCTCTTTCCCCCGCCCCCTTTCTAAGCATTTCCCAAATAAAGGATCAAAGAGGTGGTTTCATCATGTGAACAAATATTGGGTGAGCAGGGGTCAGGAGCATGAGTTGTGTGTGTCTGGTAGCAAGTTCGGATAAAGGGATCAGGTCAGCGGTCATCTGTCTCCCACCTAAGTTCATTATGTGCTCAGACATGAACAATCGGTGGAGGAGGAGGAGGAGGAGAGGCGGCGACCATGTTTTCAGCAGATCATGCTTCACAAAGTCCAGGAATTGGTGAGAAACAAGCCGAGGTCAGCATCCCGAGTAAACAATGAGGGGCAGAGAGCATCGAGTCGGAAAACAAACACTGTTTGATTGCGTGCGTTGATTCCGCGCGATGCCTTGAACACAAATACAAAAGGTACTCTGGTGACAAATCAAACAAGTACGTCAATATGGCACCTCCTCCGCTTTGATGCTCAAATCTCTCACAGCTCGTAAACCTCCACTCAATTCTTCTTTTTGGCCGGCGCTCAAGCTTAGCAGGCTGCTCATGTGACAACTGCTTGGGTCCAACATTTTGGATCCTTACGTGTCCATTTAGGGATTGATGTGCTCAAGAGGCCTTCTCTGTAACCCCTTTAGACTGTCGAAATGTCATCAAAACCTTAAATATCGCTATTGTGAACTCACACAGGAGCATTTTTTTTTTCAATATTATGCTCATTGTTTCAGGGAGTAATCTCTCCACGGAGGTGTGTTGAATCCAATTTTACCATCACATACCTGGCCAAAAATGGCTCCTCTAAATTGATAAATGATATTAAACTCTCGAATGGAAATAGATGAAAGAAAGAAGAAAAAAAAAAACCTGCAAATATGTGGACGCGAAACAAGTATGCGGGGAGACACTGTACAATTTTAAACAATTTAAAAGGGTGTATCAGTCTATGCTGGTGTGTTGAGTCCAAGTTTACAGAAATAAAAAAACACCTGCCATACATAAAAACTGAAATGATCAGCGTCACTTAAAATCAGGGCGTCTAAAAGTGTACCTGTGGTGGTCGAAAAGAAAACTACACATGGTTTATCAATAAAAACTGCATCCAAACGCATTTTTGGTTACACAGGTTGTATTAAAGCAAGCCTACATAATAGCTTGCGGAACCCATTTGTCAAGATGCCTTGACAGCTAATGCACGCAACCATACGTGCCTGCAAGAGGCGGGGCCATGAAGTAGCGGCGTTGAAAGCCATCTTGGCCCAGCCATCTCTTCAATTCAACATGGCATTTTCTTGGTCAGATTCTGACAAATCTGCATCATTCTTGCAATTTTCCAGAGTCAATAGTGACAAAAGGTCTGTCAATCAGACACTGACGACGCCCATTTTGTTGGCTCAGTTTCAGACAGGCTAAAGTGTACGATAAAACAATTGCCGTATGAGAATGCGGAAGCCTGTGTATGATGCGGGTCAGGTTACATCATTTGTTTTAATTAACTAATAATTAATATCCAACTTTGGATGTGACATTCACTGCCAGCTAACCGGCCGGGTGGATGCCAGAACGTCTCGCTGTTGCTGACGCCCTCGCTTGCGGCCTGGCATGCCTGACAGTGGACTTTCTTTTTCCTACAACAGCTTATTTGGTTCACCTCGCAAGGAGGAAAACAAAAAGTAAGAATCGACAGATTTACATCCAAAAATCAAGCAAAAATCAATCTGGCATATAAACTTGACTGCAACTGATGGGTGCAAGTGATGGCCCAGTCAACGACTTGAAATCACATCCACTCCTAACATGGTGCCGTGCATTAAAATTAACCAAGGGGCTATTTTGGGCAAATACGAGACTGGACACAAAAAAATGGGAAAACCCGATACTTATCAAACTTTACAATGCTGCTCTTCCTTTCCCCATCAGTGCCTTAAAATGGGCCGCCAGGTCCAGTCGAGGGTCATTTGTGAATCATAGCTAGTTCTAAAAATGAAATCAAGTACTACAAAAGGAAGAACGGGGGGGGGGGGGCAACTTTTTCTTCACATTTAACTGTGACAGCACCTTACCCTCAAAACATGTATTTTCTCCACCATCTGGTATACACACACGCGCACGCGGTTTAATTGCAGCCAATTAAGTCAAAAGTACCTGGCACTGAAAAACAATCAATGCTAAAAACCTGTCCACACACGGATACAAAGGTGGCTCAACAATCAACAAACTTTAGTGTGAACATACCTGAGGTGCAAATATGCATTTTGCTGTAGAGGTTAGCTTAGTTTTCTTTGACAGTCATCATGTGCATTCTGATGAACTTGAGTGGGAAACAACAAAAGTAGGCCTGCCTGTTTGTCCGTCTGTCTGTCTGTCTGTCTGTCTGTCCGATAAACATCAGAGAGACTTTCTCACTTTTTTCCTTTTAATGACATCACAAAGACAAAGGCCCATCCTTTCAACTACCGTTCTGTCTTTCAAGTTTTTTTCAAAAAGAGAAAAGGGGGGAACGCTATATAATGTGCCAAATACTGTATTGACGCTAATTTTAGCATTGTAGAGCAAACATTTTGGCCTTTCATGGTGAGTAAAGTGCGCATGCGCAAAAATCTCGTCTCCTGATGAACACCTGCGTCGCAATTTAATATTTTTACCTCATGTTTACGTGACTTTTCGTTACAACATCAAGACTATACGAGAATAAAAATACGATTTAAATGAACAAGCGGCCATACCTGGTTTTTGAGCTGCAGGAGAAGGCACTTGAGGTGAAAGCGGCTCGGCGTCTCTTTCGTGTCCGTCTTTGAGGCAGCCAAAGTCGGGCTGATGACGGATGCGGCTCCGCTGGAAGGGTGGACCCTCTTCTCCTCTCGGCTGCACGGGCTCCTGCTGCGCAGAGCGAAGACTCCCTCTCGCCTCTCAGCTGCAACACTTTTATTTTTTTCCAGCAGGTGAGTTTAAAGCAACGCCCTCTTTTTTTTTTTTCCTAACTGTGAGGCGTGGAGGAAATGCTCGTAAAATCTAATCTTATTGTCGCAACCACTCAAAACACATGTTGTCTTTTTTGTTTGTTTGTTTGAAAGCAACCTTGTCAAATGACCTCCATATACTTATTTATGTATTTTAATACGTGCCCCAAAAGAGAGATTTTTACAAGAGTTTTATTTTTTCCGCAAGTGATTTGAACGCTTCGCCCCGCTTTTCACGCCCTCCATCTAAAGAGCTTGTGTTGCTACTCGCATATTTTTATATCATTTATAACACGTGTATCAAAATATGTCGGGGATTTCTCAGCAGCAAAATGTTTTGTTTTGTTTTTTAATCAAGTCCCTTTTTCACTGTCCCCACCTCTGCTTTAGGGAGTGGCGTTCAAGAGCCGCTCGTAAAATCCCAATATTTCGGTTCTCGCAAATAAAAAATAAACAAACAAAAAATTTACTACATTGCCCAAATGATTAAAATCAACAAATACAGTTACATTTCTATGTAAAATGTTTCAATTGTAAATTATTGTACAGATGGTAAACACTTCATTTTCTACAGTCGGAGCGGGTAGGGCCATACGAAATGTATAAAAAATATATATAAATATATTAAACAACGCATTCATGAGGTATCAGCGCATTTGTGGGGTTTCTCCGCTACTGCACTTACTCCCACATTCCATATACAAGTAGGTTTAATCAAAAATCTCAATTGTCCTTCGGTGTGAATTTGATTGTGAATGTTTTATATGTCTGCCCTGCGATTGGCTGGCAATCACTTCAGGGTGTCCCCCGCCTGCTGCCTGAAGACTGCTGGAATAAGCTCCAGCACAGCCGTGACAATCATGTTGAGAAGGAGATTAGAAACTGGATGGATGGCTGGATGTTTGTATGTCTGAAACCAAATTGTTATATGGCTTTTATATAGTTTTTTTTTTTCTATTTGCATGGCGGGCCGCAGATGGCCCACAGGCCATAGATTTCCAAGCTTCAAGATCCAGGAAGACAAGGGGCTGTTTTTGTGTTGGAATGCAGAGACTTGTCCATACCTGCAGCAAGACCAGGGTAGGTGCAAGTATATACAAAAGTGGGTTAGCGGGGACCACACGTTTAAGAGGCTGACATTGCGAAATGCATTAAAAGTAATCCATCTTTGCTGACAAATGACAAAGAAAAGTTTGAATGTAAAATAAAAGTTTAAATGTATATAAACGTAATGTGTAAAAGATGCAAAAATGATTCATTTTCATGTTTTAATTCATCATCAAGAATCAATCATCCAATTATGCAATAAAATTGTCTTCATGTACATGGTTTAGGTCCTTATTGACATTAAACATGATTATTAAACGAAATAAATGAAAAATTGTTGACTATATGTAACATTTCTTAATTTTACTATTTATTTTATTAAATTAATTAATGGAACAATTATTTTAAAAAGGTAATGTAATATAAATATTTTTTTGTTTTCTTAGTTATCATTGGTACGTTTAGTAAACAAGGTGAAAAGGAAGGAGACGTGGTTGTGATGTCACTTCATACGTAAGTACGTACTGTACGTCAAATCAGGTAAAAGTGTCTACCTGCACCCGACCAATGAGCTTTTGGTCTTAATTCCCTAACCATATATGGTCAGACCCTCTTAAAAATGGAGAAGAGAAGAAGAGGTAACGTAAGGCGGGGTCTGTTCATTTTTTTCTGCTGCTGGGGTGTAAAACCTTTTCAAAGCCTGTCATTAGCTGCGCACCAACCAAGGGTGGAAGCGGACCGCATAGGCGGTGTTGCTGGCTTGTTGCAACACGACAGGATGACGCCGAACACACATTTTTTATGCTCAAACCATGTGTGTGTGCGTAGAGTTAAGAGCCGTTCAGGCAATGTTTTAGGAAATATTTTAAAATGGTGTTTTGAAGTGTAAAAACGAGTTAAACACTGTTTATCTTAGACCAAAGTGGCAAGGTCGGCAACATGGCTGTCTCCTGTTGGACGCGAAATTGCATTTGACAAGAACGAAACTGAAATGACGCGTATCTATCCGATATTGATAATGATTTGGTCATGAAATTATCGATCTTTGGATTGATCCACACGCCACTAGTTCAAAGCGCATGCTCGCTGGCATGCATTACTTACGCTACAAACATGGCTGCTAAAACAGTGGAGCGAGTTTACAAAAGCACAGTCACTGTTGGGAATTTAGTGACATTTCCGACCCTTCCAATTATTAAAAAAAGTGACCAGTGATTTTAAAATCTGTTAAGCCACATTTTAAACATTTGACCCAGTGATTTGTCATGTCATCATTTTAATATGTGTAGTTGAGTTATAAAATATTCATCAAATATTAAATAAACAAATGCCAATATTCTAAATATTTTGTACATTTAACCTTGACTGATTTTTTTAAATTGGGAATTTGATACAAAAAGTAACAAATATAGTTAACAACTTTCATGGGAAAAGGGTGAAGTAAAACAAAACATTACAGGACTCTTGATCATGTAAATACTCAGCGGGCCAAATAACTGGACAGATCGGTCCATGTGGAGCTCACGGGTCATAGCTTGCCCACCCATGCTCTAGACGTTTACTCAGCTTTCGTGTCATGAGATTCACTGACGTTTCACACAGTTAAACTTAAATACAACCTCTTCGGGGAAATGTTTCTTTTTTTTCCCGCAGTTTAAATGATTAATTTTGTTTCGGACTAAGTCAATCAGGGTTACACACCAGTCCCATTTGCATCATGCCAAAACATCAGATGGAGTCTGTCAGCCATCATCCTGTTAGTTCATTTCACACAGCCGCAGGGCAACAGTTTTCTTGTTGTTGCACCACTTCACATATGACTTCCTGCTTTGCAGCACAATGACACGCCTGTGCAGTGTTGGAAGACAAAAACAAGTATGCAGACAAAACGGGTTTGTAAAGCACATGAAGGCGTCTGGATGGAGCAATGCAATACACCTAAAAAAAAAAAAATCTAATCAGTTATGTAAGCTTCCTTAAGGAAAGAGCACGTGCAGTCATGTCCTGCGAGTAACTGGAAAGTTACAGTGAAGAAGGGGGAAGCCACATTTGGTTTTGTCACATGACAGAGGGACTGATGTAACAGGTGGGTTGCACACATGTATGTATAGAGTCTACAATTAAGAGACACTATACACAAAAGCTGGAAAAAAAGTTTTCTGCCAATGACTGCATCGGTGTGTCAAGGTATATCATTCATCACTACCGTCAGACCATCCCACCCAAGCACTCAAGAGTGCACTCAAGAACTGGTACACTAATATGACAGTTAGAGGTCACATACAGCGCAGAAAACTAAGAGGGCACATATTTTTGTCCTACAAATGGTTTTCGTAACACTTGCTACACAGTCATTATGACTGTGTTAGCATAGGTACAAATTTAATCAGAAACCAACACCCCAATAATGATATTACATATAGATTAAAAAAAAATCATTAAAACAAATGTGACCAAAAAGTCAAAACTGGGTTTTCGTGATAGATAAAAGAAAATAGCAGCAGCTAGCATTTTTCTATGACCCACTAACCTCAAAATAGGAGTCTATGGAAAAGAAAATTGTCAGACCTTTTAAACGCAAAGGCTTTAAAAAATTAAAAATAAAACTACAACACATCAGCTTTTTATGTTTTTATTTGTATGATTTTTTGGTGTTTTATTGTTTGTTTCTCATCAAAAGAATCCTGAGGTATTCACAATATAATGGCATTTATTCTTCTTTGAAATGAAACTGAGGGATGTGGGGGGGAGGCGAAATACAGCAAGAAAAAAAAGGGCAGTAAAGCTGTGAGACTTGATACATACATCTTCATGGTGGGAAAAAAAAGAAGAAAAAAAGGGAACTAACAGTCTGTTAGTTCTCTCTCGTCTTTATAGTGGAAAAACTACTTAGGTGAAGCTACAGCCAAACAGAATAAATCAAAAATATTTAAAAAACTCGGCATGAACAGGAAATGGGTGATAAAAATAAAATAAAGAATTGGACACAATTCCAAATATGGCAGATATTTGTTTGTTGTTGGGGTACAGAGTAAATAAAACAAAATAAAATGGACGAGTTTAAGCCAGTAAAGCTAAGTGTGCTGGCGGGGTGTTTGTATTTCGATAAATTTAGGTATGGTATATTATTATTATTATTATTATTATTATTATTATTATTATTATTATGATATACTTTGACTGCTCGCTTCTCAAGTAAAAAAAAATAAAAAAATACAACTCAAAAGACACGCATCAATAATAAATATATATAATCAGTGAAGAAAATACATCGTTCAATATTCTTGCTGTGTCACAGATAAATAACAAAAAAAAACGCTCAAGACAACTTAAAAAATACGGGGGGAGTATGCAACGCAAGACACGAACAAATAATAAAATTATAATCATAACAAAAACCCATTACAAGTGCAACATCAGTATGACAGCTTTTGGAAAACAAAAGAAAAGCTCTTGTGTTTGACCGATCAGTTCACCTACTACAGCATCAAACAAACAAAAGGAAGAATACAAAAATAATCATAACACAAAATTTAAAAAATAACATGTCAACTCAAAAGTTGTGTTTGTGGAGGAGGGGAGGACAAGAAAGGAACAGCACAAAATTTATAACCCATATTTGGGGCAATGAGTTATAAAACCATCAAGATTTCGGATCAATCCACAACAATGCATCATCACAACGCTATTAATGTTGAGTTTAAGTAGCGGCTAAAATCGGGCGGACATCATTTGCAGCCAGAGCTGCACATCCACCCGGCTATCACCTGAAGTAGAACCTCGGAAGTTGAGGAATTTCTGTGATGGAAAGGTGGACTTTCAAGTCGTTACAAATTCAAAACTATTTCCCTCTCATAGGAAATAATACCAAGTGAAATATCCATTTATTGACTGTACAGGTAACGCTTGAAGTAACTATTTCATATCGATGTCCATCGAAGTATGAAACCAAAAAAAAAAAAAAAAAAAACTACTCTACTGAGCAGCCACACCCTTTTCCTATGTTGCAAAAAGGTCAGTGATTATAATCACACTCTTCAACTTTGGAGGTTCCACTGTGGATTAACTATTTGTTCAATTTGGTGTCATCTTTGCCCTGAATAGTATCCATAACAACTCAGAAATAAAATCATTTGAAAAACATCATGATAATCTTACATTATATGAGCAGTCAAATAACAATGATCATTAAAAAAAAAAAAAAAAAAACCAAATTAAATAATCATTGTCATAATCATCATCACTAAAGACTTTTGGTAAACACAATACAGCCTAAGTAAAAATAAAAAAAATAAAAAGGACAAGACAGCTTTTTAACAAATACTGTGTGTGTGTGTGTGTGTGTGTGTGTGTGTGTGTGTGTGTATGAAGTGCGACTGTGAGCTTGACATGAGAGCTTATCAAAAATAATTCAACATTCCTAGCTATTTAAAAAAAACAAAAAAACAAATCATGTGCATCACCACCCCCTATAGAAGATGGGGAAATATACGGAAGAAACAAAATGACAGTGATTACAACTGTGACAATGACGTACACTTGGTAGACTTTACGGCAGGGGGAGTAGACAGATGTTTATTTTTACATATTATGGGGGTGATATATTAAGAGTCTTATTTGTTTTTTTGTTTTGTTTTGACAATTGCATGAATGGGCATAAAACATAATTATGTGATCCCCTCCTGAATTTTAAGTTTCGTCACTTGCCGGGGACAGGTTGGACTGAATTAATGGCAGTTTCATTCACTTCAATGGGTAAGGATGTTTTGAGTTACAAATGTGGTGACAGAAATATATCAGACTTGTATCTCAAGGCACCCATGCATATTTATTACTTTCTGCCAATATATACCAATACGCAACATTTTTTCTTGTTTCAATGACATTAACATTTTGAAAATCCATCCTTAATGCTGACTTGTATCAGTTCTTATGGTTGTGTGTGTATTATTCATCTTGAGTGTATGTGATTTCCTTGTGAAATTCAGCAGGGGATCAAATCCTTATTTCCTATACTGAATATGACCCACGGCCTGTGGGTTCCCCACCCCTGGGTTACAGCATTGATCTAACACCTCCCACCACCCCCGAAAAAACAAAACAAAAACGAGCAAACATAATCCCTCCCACCCTGATAACAATCCTTAATGGATTCTGCTCATTGAAAACTTGCTGTGTTGAACTCAAAGGGCGGGAGTCTCTTTATAATATACCACTAATAGCAAGCTGACATGGTTTTGCATGACTGCATAGTGACGATGATATTTGGTTTACTTACAGATGGGATTTAAAACACACATAAATACGGAGAGGGAAAGAGAGAGAGTGAGGCAGCTGCTGGACGCCAAGGCACAGCTCAAGGTAGGCGCTAGCAGCTAGCTTCACTGTTTATATACACAGCCGGCGAGCTAATATACATATCAAGCCAGAGTGGGATCACTTTAAATATTTGGTGTCTCTACATCAGAGCTGGGGGAGCTTTTATCTAGATCTTACAAAGTTCTCCTGGAGTCAAACTAGATCAAATGGGTCCGTACTGGGCCCACTCGTATTCTACAATCCAAGTAGCACAAAAAGCATGTGTTGGTGCACATCAGCTTATAAACAAAAAAAGTTTAGACAGTGGGAGACTGGGATCACCTGGTGGTTGGGGGAAGGACAAGCATCCAGTCATTCATGACTGGATGCCGAGCACCAGAATTTACTTTTTGTATGCGTCAGTCCTGTCGATATAAACCGTGGCTTTAAAGTCAAGTCGCTAAAAATAGACAAAGGGCCGAGCTGACCAACACCCTTTAATTGCAATTTTCATGTTTTATCAATGCGAGCCAGAAGGTGCACTTTGGCTTCACTCGGCTTGAATCGGATGCTGCCAAAATGTTATTATTATTACAATTATCTGCACCAAATGCCAAGCTCTTCATGTGATACTATTCTGTCGAAATTGGCAATGTCGTTTTTATTTGCAAAATCTTATAGGGCAAAGGTTGACAATTTTTTCAGAACTTTAACAGTTGAAATAATCTGTGTGGGTTTAAAATCATTTCTCCTAACTAATAGTAATCATACATAATAACTATGACATGAAAAGGATCTGTACCACCAGCCATAATGATCTGTCACCAGTGTGAGTTGACAGTAACGGAAAATACATTTTTGGACTTTTCTGAATTCTCAGTGAATAACATGGAGTAAATTTCAGCTTATTTGCGGTTCAGCACGCATAAATTGGCTGATACAGTGAAGCCAAAATGGGGAAACATCCAATTGTGGACTTTCCTATTACGGAAGACCCGCAATGCCGCTTCTTTAGACTGCTCGGCCCCATTCACGTGATGTCTTGTGCCAGTCTCCCTCTGTACAGTATAAATGAGCACACAAAAGTGAACTGCTATACCATAGCGCCCCCTATAGCCACTCAAAAACACAACTCATATATATATATATATATATATAAAAAAAAAAAACAGCTGTTACACTGACAATGTATTTGTTAGGTTGAGTACACCTTTGGTGTGTAGTTGTCAAGCTTGCAGTGGATGGACATGACCCCTCTGGACAGACAGACACCCTCAAATCCGCCTCTGGTGTTATGACGTGCATTTGTTTTTTGATGCAAGATGACAACTGTAGTTACATTGTGTCATGAGAACTTTTCTCTCACTTGCGATTCACTTTCCTCAAAACATGCTCTTCTGGTCAGTATTTGGTAAAAACCCATGCGGACTTTGCATTGGAGTTCACTTATTTGGCAGGAAGTACTTTGTCCTTTGGGGAAAAAGAAGTGACGGCAGCGTCGAAAGCAATTAACACAATTAAAATACAAACTCAAAAATAAAAATAGTAGCAGCAGTAAATAAATACTTTGAACGGAACACCACAAATCATCTACTAGCTCTCTGGCTAAAAAAATAATAATAATAAAATAAAGGTTGGCGTCACACCATGAAAGCTTTGTACAATGGCGGATATTTTCTCCTCTCAGTTCTCTCTCTTTTAGCACATACTTCACTTTCTTTTGTCTGCGTCTCATACTTCATTTCCACTTTCTCAACCACTTTACCTCCCTTTCCATTTCTGTTCATCTTTACTGCCATCCAGACAACATCTCATCTCTCGCTCTCTTTCTGACACTTAACTGTTTCCTGGCTTGCTCAGTACCACTCTTGACTTCTCTCTCTCCCTCACTCTCTCTCTCTCTCAGTGATTTGCTTTGGTGCCTTGTCAGTCAAGTCTTCACGATACTAATTCCACAATTAACAGCCTCATTTGTCGACAAACAACATTCAAGTTTACATCGTTGATGCGAAACAAGTCTACACATTAAGTCTATTCTCATGAGAATTTAGTAGGATATCACACTTAAGTCATGCACCAAAATGACTGATTCATCTAACAATTGGGGGTTGCCTGAAAACATGATTTTTTTTTTTGGTGCCGATTATTAACAGGAGGACCAGATACTGAAAACCACAAATTCAACATTAATCTAAAATCTCAAGGAAATGCTTGACAAACTGATCTAATTAAAATGTTTCACTTGGCATGTAACAATGATTCTATTTTCAAGACAATAAATGCGCACGTACAACAATATACAGCGATGAGTTTGTGAATCAGTGTTTGCTTATTTGAAAAAAAATGGGAAAAACTCAGCTTATGCATTATTGAAAAAATATTTACATTCTATCATGTCATGTATGCTTAAGTCCAACGGTTGTCTCTTCAGTTATATGAAAGGTGTCTTCCCTCAATTAGTGTACAATACAATACTACACGACGATATTTCAATATTTTACATCCGCCATTGCAAACCCTGTTTTGGCATGTGTCGCCCTTCTTCCACCATTTAACTTTTCGGTGGGATGCGGTTTCATGTCTGAGATTTTGAAGTTGCATTTTAGATAATACCGGTAGTTTAAATTTGGCAGGGTGTTACCAACACTGAGATGTCAAATTTTGAAGACTTATTTTCACTTGACATGTGGGCCAGTGGTTAGGGCGTCGACCTCACAGTGCAGAGGTACCGGGTTAAATTCCAGCTCCAGCATCCCTGTGTGGGGTTTGCATGTTCTCCCCGGGCCTGCGTGGGTTTTCTCCGGGTACTCCGGTTTCCTCCTACATTCCCAAAAAACATGCATGGCAGGCTGATTGAACACTCGAAATTGTCCCAAAGTGTGAGTGTGAGCGCGGATGGTTGTTCGTCTCTGTGTGCCCTGTGATTGGCTGACAACCGGTTCAGGGTGTCCCCCGCCTACTGGCCGAAGACAGCTGGGATTGGCTACAGCACCCCCTGCGACCCTTGTGATCGGAAAATGGATGGATGTATTTAAAAAGAGATCACTTTTCACTGCATCCGAGGGAATTGTAACATGGTATTCGAAAGCCTATATTTATGGCAATGTTCAATGTTCAGTACGATTTCCTACTAAATTGTGGTGAGAACAGCTTAGAATGTCTTTGAGAATGATCTGTGTACCTTTATAATTTCCTGTTCAATGAAGTGCAGTCATCTAGGAAGGAAATGATCCCTAAAAATCATCGGAAAATGCTCATTTCAGCCAGTTAAAGTAGCAATCTGTCACCTCGAGCACATCAAAAGTACTTGAGACATGATCACAAATTTTAAAAACGCCACTTTAAGTGTGGCTTCAGAACATATGCAAGGATCGCTTGCTTCGTTTGAACATCAATGGAAATAGTTGACTGTTATTGCACCGTAAGGCGTCTCAAGTCTCTTGGCCGCCACCTCACAGCCGCAATCACCTTTGGTCTGGAAAACACTAAACAGCAGAGGCAGACAGAGAGGACGAGGTAGACAACCATGTGGAGTAGGCAGATGCTCCACAATTGATGACGCCATTCCTGCCCTTTTTCAGTTTCTTTGTACAAGTTGAACGTCTGCGTCTCCTTGCGGAAAAAGCAACACCACGAGTTAACAGTCCCCCCAAATAGTCATCAGAATGACCTTCCTTTCCAACCCACCAATTTCCTTCCAATCTACTCTCAGTTCAGATCAACTCATTATGTACGCGCGCACGCACACACACACACACACACACACACACACACACACACACACACACACACACAAAAAAA